TTTGTATTGCAGCTAGTTTGCTGTACCACAATAACACTGTGAAAGCCTTTGCATTTCAATTGTAAGATTTACTTTGAGGCTTTTCATTTGAACTTGAAGGCCACGATTTGGACATGAATCGAGTGTTGTATGACGGCGCTCTGTACATGTCGTTTCTGGAGCAGGCAATCAATTGAGCCCCTATTCACTTAAATAGGATTTAATAACACGCATTAAGTCTTATCTGTGTTATACATGTATCTGAAGGTATTCCTTATAAGGTTTAATTAATACATTGACCACACCCTGCACCAGAGTGTCGACTGTTTATATGTAAAAGCTTGAAAAAGTACTAATTAATGTACATTATATAACTAAAATATTACGCAGTAATCTTGCAAACGTTGAGTCAATATTTCAATATATCAAGCATTCTTTTCATCAAACGTCCATGTTTTTGTGGTTGGAGCGCCTACCTCGAGCGCTGTAGGTCGTGGGTCGATCCCATGGCACACGCATGCATGGTACTTGTTTTCTTTTCCTAGCTTTGAGCATTGAGGAGATTCAGCAACGTCTCGAGTCAGTATACTGTTTCTGAGTGTGGTATGTTTAACTGAGGCATGGTATTTTAGTGGGCTCTATAAAACAAGTTTGGAGTAGTACAAGCAACCACACAAACACATGCATGAACGTGTCTATAGAAGTGCAGGCAATTTCACATCACCTTATACTAAATCCATCAACTTCCAGAGTGTCACTGCAGACAGGAAAGGACTCCCTGTCTACTGTTGATGGACGTAGATGTGTCAACGAGTTTATCACAGATCAACGTCGTATCTTTGTATGCGCATTGCCAATCCAGGTGGTCACCCGCTGAATTATAGTGAAGGACCTAACGGCAGTGGCGACTAGTAAATCAAATTAATATAGTGCTGCCATTATAATCAGTTGCTTAACTTCTGCTGTTATGTTCGTGTTTGTGTAATTTGTCGGACGTTAATGTGTATTTGTGTAACCGTGTAATCGGCAACTGCGCATAGGCGATGGAATAACTGAGCGACTTTTCAGAACACAATTGGGAGATGATGCAAGGGAGGTAACTATCTCTACCTTACAGTGATCTCAGATGAATATATTTTAAATGCATTGCGAGAAATGTATATTTGATTTTTCTACGTCGCAGTCAGCAATACCTAAGCTATAAAGACGGCAATCAAGATGTGTGACTGGGATTTAAAAGTCGGATAGCAAACTGATTACTGGATAGAAGATGATCAGCTTCCTTGTCATTATCATTGTAAATCCTTAAGTGTAGATTATAACGTCGTTATCAGTCATGAAATTACCACTTAGTCAAAATCCCAGAAGAATTTAGTTGTCCTCATGAATCGTTAATCCGGACATGTTATAATCTCTATTGTTCGGATTAATGGGGTTGAACTATATATGATTTGTTTTGCGATATGAATTGTGTGACTGACTGACTTATCCGTGTTTTAGTTACATACAATATTTACTCAGGAAGAAACGTTTTCTGGGCTTGGTCATTTATTTAGAAGCGAGCACATTTAAACACAAAAAAGATTAGCCAACTTAATGCTATGGAATGAGTCGTAATATATATATATTTTTGTCATAGCGAATGCCTGTTTATAACATGTTATGTGTTTACTTATTTGCATGAAATAACCTACGACCATTGTAGAATAGGTCTTCAGCATCCCATGCTTGCAGTAAGAGGCGACAATGATTGTTGAAAGATGCGACTAACTGGATCGGGCTGACAGGCTCTGTGACTTGGTTGATGCATGTCATCGATCCGAATTGCGTGAAATGATGCTCATGATGTCAATCACTGGATTGTCTGGTCGAGACAGGATTATTTACAGGCCGCCGTCATATAGCTTGGATTATTGGTGAGTGCGGCTTAAACAACATACAAAAAAACAGCCAAACAAACAAATGGGCCTTCATTTACGTTTCTTGACTGACATGAAAGGAAGTATTCCGGATGATTGTACTCGGGACGATACCGAGCGACTGAACGGAGTTTGACTGTATTTCAGTTAGAGTGAAAGAATGCGCTGTCAACCAGGCGTAAACAGCATGTGTGTGCGAATCCAAGGTACCCACATATGTTACCATGTGACATTCCCTCGTTTTTTCACGTCAGTCATACAAAATTGCGACCATGTCTTCACATGATGGTAAAGAGAAAGAGATAACAGGAAGAGGAAGGGAACGAGATAACAGGCTGATGAAAAGAAAGAGATGAGAGGATGATGAAGGGAAATAGATGACAGGATGATAAAGGGAGATACATAACATGATGAAGGGAAAGAGATAACAGGATGACAAAGGGAAAGAGATAACAGGATGGCGAAGAGAACGAGATAACAGGACGATGAAGGGAAAGAGATTACAGGAAGATGAAGGGAAGGCGATAACAGGATGTTGAAGGGAGAGAGATAACAGGATGACGATGGGGAAAAAGATAATAGGATGGAGAAGAGAAAGAAGTAACAGGAAGATAAAGTGAAAGAGATTACAGGATGATTAAGAGAAAGAGATGATGGGATATGAAGGGAAAGGCATAACAGGATGAAGAGAAAGAGATAACAGGATGATGAAAAGAAAGAGATGATAGGATGAATAAGGGAGAGACATAACAGGATGAAGGGAAAGAGATGGTAGGAGAATGAAAGGACAGATATAACAGGATGATGAAGGGAAAGAGATAGCAGGTCGATGGAGGGAAAGAGATAACAGGGTGATGAAAAGAAAGAAATAACAGGATGTTGACGGTAGAGCGATAACATTATGATGAAGGGAAAGAGATAACAGGATGACGAAGACAAAGAGATAACAGGACAATGAATGGAAAGAGATAACAGGATGATGAAGTTAAAGAGATAGGAGGATTTTGAAGGGAAATATATAACAGGATGAAGGGAACGATACAACAGGATGATGAAGGGAAATAGATAGCAGGAAGATGAATGGAAAGAAATAACAGGAGGATGAAGGGAAAGATATAACAGGGTGATGAAGGGAACGTGATAACAGGAAGATAAAGGGAAAGAGATAACAGGGTGATGAAGGGAAATAGATCACATGATGATGAAGGGAAAAAGATAACAATGTGATGAAGGGGTCAACATAAGAGGATGATGAAGAGAAAGTGATAACGGGAAAATTGTAGGAAAGAGATAACAGGATGATGAAGGTAAAGAGGTAACGGGATGAAGGGAAAGATAAAACAGGATAATGAAGGGAAAGAGATAACAGGAAGATGAAGGGAAAGAGATAACAGGAAGATGAAGGGAAAGAGATAACAGGGTGATGAAGGGTAAGAGATAACAGGATGTTGAAGGAAATAGATAACGGGGAGATAAAGGGAAAGAGATAACAGGAAGATGAAGGTAAAGAGATAACAGGATGATGAAAGGAAAGAGATAACAGGATGATGAAGGCAAAGAAATAACATGATGATGAAGGGAAAGAGATAACATGAAGATAAAGGGAAAGACATAACAGGATGATGAAGGGAAAGAGATAACAGGATGATGAAGGGAAAGATATAACAGGGCGATGAAGGGAAATAGATAACAGGATGATGAAAGTGAGGGAGTGAGTGACTTAAAGCTTTACGTCTCATCGGCAATATTTCAGCCATATCGTGACGAGAACATTTATAATACTGATATTAAAATAAAAAAAACTGTCATCGACGGACAGTATAACAACAAGAGTATCACAGTTTATAAATAAAACTAGTTTAGAACATTTAAAAGAATAACCTATTATTCAACAATACATTATAAAAACGGGCTAGATATCGCCACCAACCAAAGTGTTTTAGGCCACCTTACTGGGGACTGTGGGGACTTACAATACTTCTGCTACCTGCACGGCTCCCCAGCAGGATTCACACCATCCCTTCAGCTGCTGGCGATGGTACGCAATTAATCCATAATTAAAACAAAACAAATATACTACGTTTAAAAACAGTGGTATGAATAAACGTACTTTCAGGATGCGGTCTTACATATCCTCTCAAGGGGACAATAATTTTACACTACTTCAACCCCTTTGAGGATATAGCCATTAACCATCTAAGTTACTCATTAAACACTACCAATATTATAAAAATCAACTGGGATGATGAAAGGAAAGGTATAGCAGGATGATGAAGGGAAAGGGATAACAGGATGATGAAGGAAAATAGATAACAGGATGATTAAGGGAAAGAGAAAACAGGATGATGAAGGGAAAGAGATAACAGGATTATGAAGGGAAAGAGATAACAGGATGATGAACGGAAAGAAATAACATGATGATGAAAGGAAAGAGATAACAGGATGAAGGGAAAGAGATAACAGGGTGATGAAGGGAAAGAGATAACAGGTTCATGAAGGGGAAAATATACCAGAATGGTGAAGGGAAAGAGACAACTTGAAGATGAAGGGAAAGAAATATTTGCAAAAGAAAGGGAAATAGATGACAGGATGATGAAAGGAAAGAGATAACAGGGTGATGAAGGTAAAGAGATAACAGGATGATGAAGGGAGAGTGATAACAGGATGATGAAGGGAAAGAGATAACAGGTTGATGAAGGGGAAAATATACCAGAAAGGTGAAGGGAAAGAGACAACTTGAAGATGAAGGGAAAGAAAATATTTGCAAAAGAAAGGGAAAGAGATGACAGGATGATGAAGGGAAAAAGATAACATGGTGATGAAGGGAAAGAGATAACAGGATGATGAAGGGAAAGTGATAACAGGAAGATAAAGGGAAAGAGATAACATGATGATCGGAAAATATCATTTTAACCGAATGTTACAAATTGGTCTGTGAGAATTTTATTTTAATGAATATTATAGCCGTGTATAAAATTGCCTCATTGAGAAACTCACTGGCTTGTGATTATTTCTGTAACTGACAGTGTAGCCGCCAATAACTGCAATACTGCTGATGCGGCTTTATGCAATATTACTCACTCACTCACTGACGGTGATAGTTTCGTTTCCAGCTTTCGAACACATCACTCTCATTGGACATTCATGTACACAATTTCTTTTGTTAAATTATATTGAGCATGTCGAGGGTTTTAATATAAAGTACACAGGAAAGTGTCAAAACGGGAGACGACCCTACTCTATTCCACACAGGACTTTGTGTTTGTAAATTTCATAGCATTTTTAAGCTCAAGTCATAATTTTGTTAAATGCTACTTGGAGAATGAAGAGCATGAAAGAAGCATGACCAGAGGACTACTAACGTGCGCATGCACCTTGACCTATGATATTACGCATGCGCACGGACAGCGTCTAAAACGCGAGATCGCGAGAAAATTCACATTCTCGCGTTCTCGCGATTTCGTGGTTTTGTGGCCTCATTTGACAAGTCGAGATTGCGAGGTTTTGCATCATGTCCGAATTTGGCATTCTCGCGTTGTCTACTTTTGACAGAAAGTGCTTTGTACCAAAAACAAGAGATTTGTACGCCAAATCTCGCGTTCTCGCATTCTCGTGTTTTGGGCATATTTAGCTTATTTCCAAAGGTCGAGATTGCGAGAATGCGAGATCGCGAGAATGTCCCTTACAGTATTCCATACGGGACACATGGAACGTGAGGCATGTTTTCAACTACATGCAATAACTCTTCAAAACGTGTCGACGAATGTTTCTATAAATTAGCTCACAATTCATGAATGAAACAAAACAACAAATAAATAATTTGTCTTTATGTGCAATCGATTTTCGTGACAGGATGTTTTGTCAAAGGAGGGT